TAATAAGAAAACAGACAACCCAATAAAAAATATGCAAAAGATCTGGACATTTCACCAAAGAAGATACACAGATGGCAAATAAACACATGAAAAAATGCTTAACACTATTAGTCATTAGGAAAATGCAAATTAAAATCATAAGACACCACTACCTCTGAGAATGGCTAAAATTTTTTAAACTGACAATACCAAGGACTAACAAGGATGCTGGTGAAAAATGTAAAACGGTATAGCCACTCTGGAAAACAATTTGACAGTTTCTTATAAAGTTAAACACACACTTATCGTACAACCCATTAATCCCACTCCTAGGTATTTACATATCCAAGTGATATGTTCACACAAAACCTGTGACTGCTTCTAGAAGCGTTATAGAAGCATTTGCAATTGCCCAGAAAGTGAATAACTCAAATGCCCTTTAGCTGGGGAATGGAGAAACTGTAGTACATTCGTACAACAGAAGAGTAGTTGGCAATGAGAAGGGACAAACTACAGATATATGCAACATGGATGACTGTCAAATGCATTATGCTAATTTAAAGAAGGCACATTCAAAAAGCTACATACTGTATGATTCCATTGATAATGACATTCTGGAAAAGGCAAACATATAGGAACAGAAAACAGTTCAGTGGTTGCCAGGGCCTGGGGGTGGGAGGGCAAGATGACCATAAAGGGGCTGTACAAGGGAATCTGGGGGATGATGACCTGTTCTGTATTTTGATTATGGTAGTGACTATATGACTGTATGTAATGGCTGAAATTTGAAGAACTGTTCACTAAAAAGGGTAAATTTTACTTATGCAAATTATACCTTAATTTAGAAATGAAAAAATGCAACATGTATTTAATATATTTCAAAATATAACACTTAAATTATCTGTATGCTAACCAAAGTTTCTTTACAAAAAAAGTGTAAGAATGAATGAAAACTGCTTCAATGTAGGTGTCCTCTCAACTTCTAAAACATCCTATGACCCAGGACTCCATCTGAAAAAGCTATGTAATATATTTAATACACAAATTGAAACTACATTCTTTTCCAAAAGAATGTGATTCTTATAAACTAACATGAGGAGAAATTGCTAACAGCGAGGAAACAAGAAAAACAGTACATTTTGTAATCCTTGCATCTTTGAAACACACTGACAAAACTTCAGGGAACGAGTAAATTTTGGATTACAACATGGATTTACATAATTGAAACATCATCCATTAACATAAACTAGATAAAACAATATCTCGAAAAAAATGAAATTTTCGAGATTGAGACTGAGATATATACACTAATATGTATAAAATGGATAACTAGGGCTTCCCTGGTGGTGCAGTGGTTGGGAGTCCGCCTGCCGATGCAGGGGACACAGGTTCGTGCCCTGGTCCGGGAAGATCCCACATGCCGCTGAGTGGCTGGGCCGGTGAGCCATGGCCGCTGGGCCTGCGCGTCCGGAGCCTGTGCTCCGCAACGGGAGAGGCCACGGCAGTGAGAGGCCCACGTACCGGAAAAAAAAAAAAAAAACTAATAAGAACCTGCATAAAAAAATAAGTGAAATTCTAAAATTTAAAATAAATGAAAATTGATGACTAATAAGAACCTGCTGTATAAAAAAATAAATAAAATAAAATTCAAAAATTATTTTAAAAAAATGAAATTCTCGGGCTTCCCTGGTGGCGCAGTGGTTGAGAGTCCGCCTGCCGATGCAGGGGACACGGGTTCGTGCCCTGGTCCGGGAAGATCCCACATGCCGCGGAGTGGCTGGGCCGGTGAGCCATGGCTGCTGGGCCTGCGCGTCCGGAGCCTGTGCTCCGCAACGGGAGAGGCCACAACAGTAAGAGGCCCATGTACCGGAAAAAATAAATAAATAATAAATGAAATTCTCCTTTCTCTTACAATCTCTTTGCAAAGTCAACAGCAGAAAAAAAAAAAGAAAGAAAAAAAACTACATTTTATAGAAAGAAAAGAAAAAATAAGTGAAGAAATGAGTAGAACTGGAAACAGAAGTTGGGTCAGGTTACAAATCATCCATATATTCTTCAGGTCTATTCTTCCATTTTCCAGCTCATTTGTACCTCGTTCAAGAAGTTTACCGAAGACTCCACTTTCTCCCCCAAAACCCTGGCCCCCCAGGAAAGAAGTATTCTACCTCTTCTTGAAATCCTCTAACATTTGTACTGAACCTCTTTGTTGATCTTTTCATAATGATAATATTGACTGAATTTACTGTGTGTCAAGAACTGTATCAGACGCTATACCTGCATTACCTCATTTAATACTCATAGAACCACATAAGGTAGGTGCTATTATTACCCATTTTATAGATGAAGAAATTGAAGCACAAAAGGGTTCCATTATTTACCAAAGTCACACAGCTAATAGTGGTAGATCAGAATTTTATCCCAGCTAGTTCAAATCCAGAGCCCATTCTCTGAATCGCTATACATAAAGATTAAGTCATTCATCCAACATTTAAGCACTAACTCTCACACTAAAGACAGACTTAACAGAAAAACAAATATCGTATCTTAACGCACATATGTGGAATCTAGGAATCTAGGAAAATGGTACAGATGAACCTGTTTGCAAGGCAGAAATAGAGACACAGATGTAGAGAACAAACATATGGACACCAAGGGGGGAAAGGCGGGGGTGGGATGAATTGGGAGATTGAGATTGACATATATATACTAATATGTATAAAATAGATAACTAATGAGAACCTGCTGTATACCACAGGGAACTCTACTCAATGCTCTGTGGTGGCCTAAATGGGAAGAAAAAAGAGGGGATATATATGCATATAGCTGATTCACTTCACTGTACAGCAGAAACTAACACAACATTGTTAAGCAACTATACCCCAATTTAAAAAAGAAGAAAAAGAAAAAAAAGGAGTATACATATTCAAAAAAAAAACCAAACAAACCAGACAGACTTAAGAATAAGATGAGGTCCTACTCTCCCATGAAAGAGCTTCTGGTCTAGTTGGAGACCAACACAAAGAAGTGCAATACACTGGTTATACCTTAAGTATGTCAGGGGAGTGACAGGGAGGGCATCTCAGGATTGTCTGTGTCTGTCATAAGAGTGTGACACTGTGCCACATTTTAGTGTCCCTGTATTCCCCCATAATTCCTACCAGGCTCTGAACAAACCTTTGTTGAATGAACAGCTAACACCCATCTCCTCTACTTTTGTTGTGTCTGTACCTACCGCCACTCTAAAACTCAACTTAGAAAGATGTGACAGGAAGCCAAAAACTACATTTACCTTCCTCTCAATCATATCCTTAAGAACACTGATTCATTCCATGAATATTTATTGACTACCAACTATGACCAGCCACTGTTTTTGGTATGGGATACAGGGATGAACATATCAGATAAAGACCATTCTCTCCCGGAAGCAACATTCAAGTGGATGAAACAATCAAACAAGTACCAAAAAACAAAAACAAACAGACAAAAAACCCACCAACCAAAAAAACAAAAAATGAAACAATATCACTTCAGATCATTTTAAGTGCTATGAAGAAAATAAAATTAGGGAATATGATAAACAGTGATAAACAGTGAGGTGTTAATTTAGACCGGGAAGACCAGGCTGTGAAGATGACATTTAAACCGGTGCGTGTTGGTTAAAAAACATCTTTGTTTTACTCCTATTTTTAGAGGAAAAAGGCAAAGCTAGAAACTCCATCTGAAATTAGGAGTCAGAATTAACAGAATTCTTTGTGTCACTGACAAAGAATTGCAAAAATATTTTTTCTAAAATTTATACCTAACTCAATTGTTATAGAAGTAGAATGCTGTTCACACATTCACCAACTTTATGTAAAATTGGTTTGGTTTTATTTTTGTAAACAGTGGCTTTGCTTTATTTCAGGAAATAAATTTTGACCATATTGCATATTAATTTTTTTTTTTTTTGATACTTGCTTCTAAAAGTTGGGGGGAGCTACCTGCATGCACAAGGGTCACGGCAAAAGGATGCAAAAACGTTATTTCTGTAACACCTGTTTTCGGGATTTTGTTTTAAAAAGCACCTTATTCAAATATAACATTTAAAAGAATGTAACATAACAATCCACATTTCACACCCTTTAAAAAGCATACTGGAAGGAAATGGTATATCTAGAACAATGAAGAAAGTTATTTTTTACTAATGCTGCAAGGAAATGGACACCAGGTTTTTGAAAAATTAATTAACACTGATTTTGGCAACTCATTTAACTGCTCTGAGCCTCCATTTCTTTCCCAAGGGTAAAATGAGCGTGTTGACATTAAAGGATCCCTATGGGTCCTTCCAGCCCTAAACGCTTCGATTGGCCTTTAAAAATAGAAGGTATGTGATTCAGAACCTTTACCGCATGGGAAAGGCAGGTGATAATGATCGTGGACACTTTTTAAAAAACTTGCTCATTTGGGGGTTCAGTTTTTACAACAATTTTCTTCTGGTGTAATAGGTCAGATAAGGTTGTACAACTGGGAATATTTTCTATATACCAACGAAAGGAATAAGGAAGAAGAAACAATTATGATGCCTCAAAAGGACCATTACAGTCAAAAACATTTGACAACCAGAGAGAGCGAGCGAGAGGAATTGCTCTAATATGACAGAATCATTGGAAAGGAAACTAATTTCCACCATTTTTATTCTATTTCCTTTCTTATCCTCTCCCACAAAGTCCACTTTTAATTCTCTCAATTCCAAAAGAGGTAGCGAAAGTTACAGCAATCCTCTCACATTTTCTGTTAAATAAACAGCCGAAATATTGAAGAGGCACTATTTGCCCACACAGATCATCAAGCTTATTTAGCACTGGGGACGCCGTTTTCCAAATATCACCACCGTCAGAGCTCACTCCGCTGCAGCCCACACGCTCCACCATCCATTTTTTAAAATCCATTTACGTTGAGCCTTTCATCCAAACCCACGAACAACCATTTCCTCCCTGCAACAGTGGCTGGAACTGCCCGAAACCAAGCATCGGCTGAGTCCTGCGAACGGGGAGACTGCAGACTGCGGTGCTGGGCAGGGCCACTCCTCCCGCGCACACTAAAGCCTTCCTCGTCTCCCGGGTGATTGAAGACAGTTCAGGACCCTGATAAGACCCCGCCCTTGAAGCAAAGACCCAGGATCGGGAGGAGGAGAGAGGCGGCCTCAGCCCAGCAGAGCCAAGCCTTTGGAAAACAGGCTTCTCTCCAGCTGCCAGGAGTGGCCCAGGCTGGGCGAGTGGCGCGTCTGAGCCAGGGCGCGCGGAGCCGCTCCCAGGTGGGTCTCTGCAGCCGGGGACCGCGGCTCCGGCTCCCGGGAGGGAGGAGGAAGGGGGAGGAGGACGCAGGCCGGGATCTCGCTCGTCACGACTCACGAAGGAGGGTGGAAAAGAGGGAGGGACTGGAGAACGGGAAAAGGAGTGGAATCAAGGAGCTTAGGGAATAAAGGCGAGGAAAAGGAGAGAGGAAATGAGGGGAAGGTACTGGGAGTGAAGAATGGGGGTGCAGGGGAGGATAATGGACTGCAGGAGGTAAAGGCGAGGTGAAGGGGGAGGGATGGGGTGCCAGGGGTGAAGGGGGAGGGATGGAGCGATGGGGGTGGAGGGAGATGGAGGTAAAGAGGGAAGAGAGGGATAGGGCGAAGAGAGGAGGGGTGGGATGAAGGGTAAGGGATGGAGCAAAGGTGGGGGGGCGGAAGGGGAAGGAATGCGGGAAGAGAAGAGCTGGGGAAGAAGGGAAGAGGGCGCGGGCCGCAGGAGGCCGGGAGGGACTTCCCTCCGAGGAGGGCGGCGCCGGAATAACGGGACCCTCCCAGCCAGAAGCCCCGGGCCGAGCGGGGCGAGAGGCCAGCGCGGAGGCCAGGGCGCTGCGGGCAGGTACGGCGCCCGGCTTTTCCCGGGCAGCCGTAGCCGCCGCCTGCGGGGAGGACCCCGACTCCACTTACTCTCGCCGACCACCGCTTTGAGGCCAATGGGGGCCATCGCGCTGCGCGAGTCTCTGGGCTCCGAGCCTCCTCACGCGACGCCTGCGGACACCGCCGCCTCCCAGGGTCGGCGCGCTCTGCTAGCTGCAGCCCGCCGCCCTGCAGCCGCGCTCGGGATCGACTGACGCGCGGACTCGGCGCGGGGGCGCGGCGCGAGCCAGAGCGAGGCTACCGACCCGCCGGCGCGCGCGGGGGGGCGGGGCCGGACGGGGGCGGGGTCTCGCGCCAGCCGTTAGCGTCACCCGCTCGCCTCCGCCAATCGCACTGCGGCCCGGAGGCTCGGCCCCGCCCGCCGAGATGCGGCTGGAAGCGAGGAGGTCCCTGGCTGGTGGGAGAGCCACGCCCTTCCCCTCATCTCACGCGCCGCGCGCGGCCGGGACACCGCGCGCTCCCGGGGCGCCGGGTCCAAGAATCTTCTCCGCAGCCTCCGCACCTGAATCCCTGGCCTCAGGCTACCGACGCATTCCATCTTCCTGAAACGCCGCTATGGTCTGTCTTACCTCTTTCTGGGAACCTTACATCCACCCCTCACCCTCCCCACACCCCCGCCCACAAAAGGAACTCAGAAGCTAGATCTTATTACTAGTACCCACTCCCCAAAACGTAAGGTTTATCGACACTATCTCTATCTCTTTGGGTACCCATATCCATAAATCCACCATTCACTGAGCTCTTACATGCATCATCTCATTAAATCCTCGCAATAATTGGACATTATTTTTAATCTCCATTTTCAGATGAAAAAAAAAATAGGCTCGGAAACTGAGTACTAGATTTGCTCTCAGGTTGTGTTTCATTCATTAGCAAATATTTATTGTTCTCTCACTACTATATGTAAGCCACTGTTCTAGGCATTGGAGCTCCAGCCATGTACAAGGCAGACACCGATCCTAGTCTTTGGGCAACAAAAGTCTAGAAATATTTAGGTCCCAAATCGAATAGGAATATGCTGTGGGATGACTCTGGTCAGTATCTCCTTCCTGGAGTCCACATTTACCAAAGTGGTCCCAGGTCAGTTTTTGCTCGATTTAGTTGACAGGGGAGATTGCTTTTGAAATATGGGACAGGGCTCCCCTCTGGCTTCAAAGAAAAATGAGTTGAGCCAATTTAAAGTCAAAAAGGACAAGAGAACTGGTAGTCACAAAATCAATGAATACTCATTAAATTTTTGGAACAGCTCTGTGAGCTAGCTCCTTTATATTATTAATAAATATAATATTTTACAGATGGGGAAACAGACTCAGAGAAGATAAGTGCCTTGCTAGTAAGTGATAAAGATCTAATTTTAGACTCTGAATTCTGAACCATTATTTTATACTGAGCAACAACTAAAGAAGTTGAGGCCTAAAGGAGGACTTTCCTAAGGTCACACAGTGAACACTGGCCGAGCCAGGATGACGGGCCACGTGTCCTAGTTCAGCCACCAGCCCCAGGGCATGAAGATTTGACCATCTTCTCATCCTCAGTTCAGTCTACCCTAACAGAACCTTCATATGGCTTCCCAGAGAGGGAAAGTGTTCACCTGTCATCTCTTCATGTCTGGGCTCTGCCTTTTACCCAAGGAAGGTACTGATAGCCTTGAGTTGCATTTGGAAAAGGAGGAGATAGTTTGCAAATGTGAGGGGAACTAGGATGCACTTGTGATGCCACATGCTCCCTCCTTGACCCTCTGGCACGTGTCAATAGAGACTACCCTCAAGGAACCAGTATTCTAGCTGAGGAAACAGACAGGAATCAAGGAGTTACTGTTCTAATAAGTGCTGAAGCAGAAGGACAGAGGGTTCTGAGAGCAAATGACAGAGCACCTGACCCAGTGGACCAGGTAGGGTGCAGTCAGGGCAGGCTTCCTGAGATTAGTAAAAGGTAGCAAGAGGGGATGGGGAGAGTGTCCTAGGCAGATATACAGAAGGTGTCAGAAAGGAGTTTGACTTTTCCAGGAACAGAGAGGGACCAGTGTGACCAGAGGGAAGAGAGCCTGAGGGACAGAGTAGGAAAGAAGCTGCTAGAGGTAGACCTTGCTGCAGAACTCCAGGACTTTTGGGTGGCCTGGAACCTGCCTGGAGACCTCCTCAAAGGCCACAGAAAATAAAACATAGCAGCTCCTTATTTTCTGCGGAAGGATAAAAAAAGAAATTCTTTCCTGTGGATGTGTACCTGAGATGTTTAATAGGGACGGCAAAAATCAGAACAGATGTTGTTTTAAATAGGATGGTTGAAAAAGTGAGTAGGGTGACAGACTGTGAACTCACTCAGGAACCCCTGACTCAGGAGTGTCGGATTGGAATCTCTCTGGATGTAGAATGCAAGACCTGTTCCAAGACCTCTTGACATCTCTGAGCCTTGATTTCTCCATCTGTGAAACAGGGACAATAAAACTTCCAGGCTTCTCTAGAAGGGTGCCTCTGAGGACCCAGGGTGATGACCTGCACGATAGGATAAAATCCTCGCTCAGTCATCACACAGCACTATCCTTTGCACTGTATTCTTTATATGCAGTACGTTTGATACCCGCCAGGCACCACACAAAGGGCTCTCATGAATTTTCATCGAATTCTCACTATGGCCCCACAAGGTCGGAGCTATTTTTTTTTATTAATTATTTATTTATTATTTATTTATTTATTTTTGGCTGCATTGGGTCTTTGTTTCTGCGCGCGGCTTTCTCTAGTTGCGGCGAGAGGGGACTACTCTACATTGTGGTTGCATGGGCTTCTCATTGCGGTGACCTCTCTTATTGTGGAGCTCAGGCTCTGGGCGCGCAGGCTTCAGTAGTTGTGGCTCGTGGGCTCTAGAGCGCAGGTTCAGTAGTTGTGGCACAGGGGTTTAGTTGCTCCGCAGCATGTGGGATCTTCCCAGACCAGGGCTCGAACCGGTGTCCCCTGCATTGGCAGGTGGATTCTTAACCACTGTGCCACCAGGGAAGCCCCCGGTGCTATTATTATTACATTTTCCAGGGGCACAGGGAGGTCAAGTCACTTGCCCAAGGTCACATGGCTCTAAGAGCAGACCTGGGACTTGCGCTCCGACTTCCTGATGCCCAGAGGAGAACGTCCAGCGCCCAGGTGCAGCCGCAGTGCCCTGAGCTAAGGACAGGTTTAGATGTGTGGACCTCTTGCTGGGAGCGTATCAGCAACGGGAACCGAACCTCTTGGGAGTCGGGGCTCAGGCGGGTCCACTAACCCTTGCCCCTGTCCAGCCTGAGGGGGTCGGGTTGGGGGGCTGTGGCCCCTGGATGCGCCGGTTTGGTCCGCGGCCCCGCCCGCCCTCTGGGCAGGTGCGCTTGTAGCTGCGCATGCGCGGCCTGCAGCCTCTGCAGAACCCTGGTGCCGGCCAACTTCTGGGGGTGGGAAGAATCCTGTGATTTACGCTTCTGTCACGTGACGGCGGGGAGCTTGCTTGCGGCTTGGCCGCTGCGCCAGGAGCCCGGCAGGTGGGAGACGGATGCAGAACAGAGAGGGGAGAAGCTAGGGGGTCAGGGAATAGAGACAGGGAGCCTCATGGAGGGACAGAGAACGGGGGTGGGGGGCGTGCGGGGAGAGAGAGACAAACAACCCAGAGTAGGCAACTGGGCGGAGCAGGGAGAGACGGAAGAAACCGAGTACCGTGGCCTCCACCAGCCCTGATGGCGCGGACCAGCTGACTTGGGCCCCCCACGTACAGGGGCCTGTTGGAGAGCCCTGGGTGCAGAGTCTGGGCCTCTTCTCCGACAGTCTCGGGCTTGCACCTGCCTCCCTTCTGCTTTTAAGCTGCATCATCAGCTGCATTTTTTCGTGTTCACCCCCACCCCCACCTCCTGGTCTCTGGGCTTTTAGATTCTGCTGCATTCTTTTAGAAGAAGTTTCTAATGAATTCAAGATAATGTTAATAAGGTTCTTTACCTAGTACCGGGAACCTATTAAGGACCCAATAAATGTTAGCTATTAATATCATTAAAAATGGCATAACGAGTCTGAATACATCAGTGCTGAATACAGTTACAGAGCGTTCAGTCGGTTTCCTGTTTTTTTGCTGCTGTAGTTCACAGGCAGAGAATGAAAATGTAATTGTCTCCAGCTCAGCCACCCACTACCCCCCACACCTACAAAGAGCGGCAGGGCCTGGAGTGCTTCAGGTTGGTACATCCTTGCCGGAAAGAGTGAGTTAACAGTTTTTTGTGTTTGAGGTCGGAATACAATATGAAAAAGGCTTTGTTTTCAAAAGCGTAGGCTAGGTTCTCAAACTCAAAGGTGTGTAGGGGCCAGGCAGATGTAACACTACAGATGTGGCCAACGGCAAAGCACGTGCCTTGCGGGGAGTCAGGGCGGGGGGCAGTCCTTACTCAGTTCCAACCACTGGTTTACATGCAACGACCAAGGATCTTGATTGTAAACATTTCGGCATCCCCCAGTAAGTTGAAGTGTTGCAATGGATTAAAAAAAAATGTAGGGCTTCCCTGGTGGTGCAGTGATTGGGAGTCCGCCTGCTGGTGCAGAGGACACGGGTTTGAGCCCTGGGCCGCGAGGATCCCACGGGCCGCAGAGCAGCTGGGACCGTGTACCGCAGCTGCTGAGCCTGTGCTCTAGAGCCCGCGAGCCACAACTACTGAGCCCATGTGCCACAACTATTGAGGGCCACACTCGTGGAGCCTGTGTTCCACAACAAGAAAGGCCACCTTAATGAGACGCCTGTACACCATAGGGAGAGGCAGTCCCCGCTTGCTGCAGCTAAAAAGAGAGCCCGCATGCAGCAGTGGGAACCCAACGCAGCCAAAAATAAATAAATAAGTTTATAAAAAAAAAATTTAATAACACCACACTGGCTAAACAAAACACATCTGAGGGCCACGTCCAGTCCCCAGGTTACCTGCATGTAAACTCTGGGAGATTAATACCTCTTCTGGAAGGGGGAGGTTGGATTCCCCCAAGGCGCAGGTTCTGAGTAGCACTGACGTCTCTCCCATACACATGGAGTCCTGGAGCGCTCAGGGCTTTGGACAGGGGTGGTGGTGTGAATGCCTGGGCACCAAGCACTAGGACCTTCCCCCGTGGCCCTGAGAGCCAGGAATGCGTCCCTCTGCTTAGCCTGGCTCTGGGGCAGCAGATTAGGGCCAAGCACTTTTGAATGGACTGGTGAGCACTGTGGTGGCAGCCTCTGAGGACAGCTGTTGTGGACAGCTCAGTTTTGCCTGGACTGTGAATGTCCCATAGTCCTGATCCAGCCCAGGAACAAGGACAGAGCCACACAAAAATACCATCCAAGGGAAGTTTAGCAACCTCAGACAGTGGGGGCTTCAAGCGAGTTTTTTTTTTTTTTCCGGTACGCGGGCCTCTCACTGTTGTGATTCTCCCGTTGCGGAGCACAGGCTCCGGACGCACAGGCTCAGCAGCCATGGCTCACGGGCCCAGCTGCTCCGCGGCATGTGGGATCTTCCCGGACAGGGGCACGAACCTGTGTCCCCTGCGTCGGCAGGCGGACTCGCAACCACTGCGCCACCGGGGAAGCCCAAGCGAGTTTTATTTAATTTAGAGAAATAAAGAAATATGACATTGTTTACACCTTGGGTATCAAAGAACAATTCATGCCTTTTATGTGTTAAATTGCCATGGGATCCCAGGGGAAGAAGTTTTCATTACAACTGGAGAAATAATTTGGTTTAGATGTGGTTTGTTTTTGGCCAGTGGGGCCAGAAAGCTTCATGGAAGAGGTGGCATTTGAGCTGAGCCTGGAGGCTGAGAGGAGAGAGAAGATCAAATCCAACCAAAGAAAAGAGCATAAGCCCACGGTTAAACTGTGTGCGAGGCACCCTGGGGTGCCACAGCAAATAGAAACACAGTGGAGTATTTTGGAGAGAAACACAATGATGCTTATCATCTGTTGGACACTGTGGAACCTACTAGCTGGAAGTAGTTCACAGTTTCAACATTAGACTGCTACATTTCTTTCTATGACGTACATGTCTTTGAAGCTGCGTTTTCAGCAATTGATGTGGGAGAAGAAAATAACTCATGAAAATCAATGTGGAACAGGAGACTGAGGGTGTTAATGTCTGATGTGGTGGATTCTAAGGTCTGAGAAGGTGCACATATCTTATTAGTAAGGAGTGGTGGTTATTTTCAATTTATGGGTACTGTTTTTTCAAATGGCTACTAAGTTGTTAGGATATAACAGAAGTTGTTTGGTCCTGACTACTTCATAAACAGAGCTATTAGGTATTTCTTTGGGTCTGGGATGCTATGAAAACATACTGAGACACAAAGGCTGCCACGTTTGGAAACCTCTGGCATAGGCAAAGTGTGAATTCATTAATTCAGCAATATTTATTAAGCACCTACTGTGTGCCAGGCACGGTCCTAGGCATTGCAGATACAGCAATGAACAAAAGAGAAAACTCCCTGTAGATAAGAAACTGACATTCTAGAGGGGGAAACACCATAAATACATAAATAGTAAATTATATAGTATGTTAAAAAGGTGATAAATGCTATGATGATAAAAATAGAGTAGGGTGATCAGGATTACCTGATCAGACTAAGAACCATGGAAGGGATTAGAAAGATAAGTAAGGTGATTGCATGCAGGATTAGGCTTGGGTGGGGGTTGGAGAGAGATAGATTGCATTTTAAAGGGGATAGGCAGGTTAGACTTCATTGAGAAAACGTTGGATATGAGGTCAAAGTCAGGAGTCAGCTCTGGGCATCCCTGTCAGCACATACAATGTGATGACTCCAGGAAGAGTGACTCACATGACCCAGGGGGTTAGGGATTGGTCACGTAAAGGACACTGGGAAGAACTCCAGTTTAAGGCTGAGTGAAGGGAGCAGAGACCAGAAGGAGGCAGAAAGGAAATGGTCAGAGAGGTACAGTGTGAGCCAGGAGCGCAGAAAGACGGCATAGCTAACAACACCTCATGCCCCAGGGCTCTGACTAAAAATAAAAAACATCGGTGGGTCTGGTCATTGAGAGGTCACTGGTGACCTGGGCAAAAGTCAGAGTGCAGACAGGGAAGGACTGACTGAGAGGAGCGGGGGGCTATCCTCCAAACTTCTCCAAAAAGTATGGATTTATCTTTCTGCAAGGAAGACAACAAAGAGGAAGGGAATGGCTGGATGACCCACAGGGGATCAGAATCAAGCGAACTTTTTTGAATAGGGGGAAATCTCTCTCTCTCATTTTTAAATGAAACTTTAAAAAAACACAGAAAAGTAATAAAGCAAATTCCCGTATACTCCTTCTCCAAGAGTAAAGAACAGTAAAGAACAGGATTTTGTTTTAGAAAAATAGATCTGATTATATCAGGCGGATTCTTTTTCCTCCTGAAACCCCACTAAAATACTAGCAGGGGAATTCTTAAAAAGTTTAAATCCACGAGGACACAAAGAACAGGAAGAGAGGCAACGGGAGATGAGAGATAGTGACAAAACTTTGGAAGATGAACAGCACATGGTTGAGGGTTGATGAGTGAACAGAGAAAAGGAGGTGGAAATATGAACCTCCAGAAGGAGACTAGCCACTCAACCACGGAACCTTGGAAAAGTTCAGGAATCATTGGTACCAGGTACTTCCAGAGGTGGGAGTGAAAGGATGGGCTGAAAACAAAAGACTGGTAAAGAAAAGGATGAGTCAGACCACCAGATCCCCTCCACCACCCTGCCTAGTCAGGTGACAACCCCTCCCCAGCAGAATGGTAAACTATGATGATGGTGACGATGATGGTGACATGGTGATGGAAGCAAGTATATATGGGGCATACTGTGTGTCAAGCACTCTTCCAAGCTCTTCACATATATCAGTTCATTTAACCCTAACAGTCACCTGTGAGGTATTTACTATTATTATCTCCATTTTACACACGAGGAAACTGAGCCATTTGTCCAAGGTCACACAGCCAATAAGTGATAGGGCCAGGATTCAAACCCTGGCATGTGGGAGGTAAGGATAGACAGTAGAAGTCAGTGAGTACTCCTGTGGTTTGGACTCCATTTGTGTCTCCATGAGAAGCCATGAGGATGGGGATGGGAGGGGAAGAATATAACTGAGATGAATAAAAGTAGCACCACCCCCTCGGCACCCTGATGTGCCAAGTGCTTCACGCACAATATCTCTTTTAATCCCCTCCTCAAATCCTATGAAGTACGTATGATGATTTATATCCATCTTATAAGATGAGGAAACTGACACGTAATGCATTCTGGGGCACATAGTCAATTTCTGGGCAAACCAGGATTAAATTAAAGCCAGGTATGTCTGAGCCCAAAGCCTGAGCTCTTAACCACAGAGCTCTGTTCATCTCTAGATTTCAGAGCCTTTTTGAGCCAGCCATGAAAGTATACACTATGAGTCCATGCATATGAGGTTTCAGGAACAGTCTAATCTATGACAATAGAAATCAGGATAACAACTATCTCTTGGAGGTGGAGAGCAAAGAGCATTGACTGGGAAGAGAGATGTGGGAGGCCCTGGGTCTCTGGAAATAATCTGTGTCTTGATCTGGGTGGTAGTAACATGGGTGCATATTTATGTAAAAACCCACCGAGCTGCTCACTTAATTATGTCGTTTATTGGATCTTACACTTCATGTTTTTAAAAAAGGCTTCCTGGAAGACATGGCATTTGAAGTGAAACTGGAAAGCAGGACTTCCCTGGTGGCACAGTGGTTAAGAATCCGCCTGCCAACACAGGGGACACGGGTTCGAGCCCTGGTCTGGGAAGATCCCGCATACCGCGGAGCAACTAAGCCCGTGTGCCACAGCTACTGAGCCTGTGCTCTAGAGCCCGCAAGCCACAACTACTGAGCCCACGTGCTACAACTACTGAAGCCTGTGTGCCTAGAGCCCGTGCTCCACAACAAGAGAAGCCACCGCAATGAGAAGCCCGCGCACCACAACGAAGAGTAGCTCCTGCTCGCCACAACTAGAGAAAGCCTGCACGCAGCAACAAAGACGCAATGCAGCCAAAAATAAATAAATAAATTTATAAAAATTTTAAAAAAACCCAGAAACCTGGAAGCAGTTTAGACGATTATTATAATCATATATAAAATGCTTACCATATATCAGGCATGCCACTTATTGAGTGCTTATGATATGTTAGACACTGTGCTAAGTGCTATACTTATTATTTTATTTAATCTTTACAGTGGTCCTGAGGAGGTAAATATCCTGCCCATTCTACAGATGAGACAACTGAGGTTTCAAGAATGCAGTGACTTGCCTGGATCACACAGGAAGTGGCTTAGCCAGCCCAGGTTTGTCTTGTCAACAAAAATTCAATTAACAATGAAAAAGGAAAAAGAGAATTTTGTTCAAGCCAAACTGAGGGTTGTAACCCAAGAGAGAGACTCTCAGAAGCTCTGAGAACCATTCCACCTGTTAGAAGTCAAAGGCACAGTCATATACATTTCTAAGACAAAGGATCATACATCAAAATGACATACTGACAGTTTACATAAAGTTCATCAAAGGCGTGTAGTTCAGGTAAGCACAAAGTGAGCCGTAGGTCACCATGACCCCTTACAGAGTTGGGAAAGAATGCCAGTCTTCTAAGAAGTCACATTGCTGGCATCAGAAGAGAAGAAAAAAAAATGATCTCCACAGTCAAGTAGGCACTCCCATCTTTGAGGAGGTCTGGTTAATGCAAAATGCAGATGCACACTGCACACTGCAGGGGAGGGAGGAGGCCCAAAGTGACAGAGAGAGAATTTTAAGTTAAAATTTTCTTGTCCTGCCTTAAAATGTAAATTTTATTTAATCAGCCTGACCCCCAAGTCTAAGCTCTTGGGACCACCTGCTCCCACCTCTCCGGCTCCATGGAGGTGGTGGGACTTGGGTTACAGAGGATGAAGGAGGAGAAACCAGAGATGGCTCTGAGCAGAGGTGGAGGGTGCGTGGTTCCTTGCAAAGCTCTGTAATTAATTTTGTTTTGTAATTTTGTTTTATTTTATTTTATTTTATTTTTTTGACCGCGCTGCACCGCATACAGGATCCTAGTTCCCGGACCAGGGACAGAACCACACCCCCTGCAGTGGAAGCATGGAGTCTTAACTACTGGGCCGCCAGGGAAGTCCCTGTTTTACTATTCTTAAAGAGAGCCCCCCATATGGTCAAAGCTTCAGGCGCTGGCTCAGAGGGTGTCTGGGAGAACAGTTGCCCCATCATTAGATTGCAGAGTGTCACTTAGCAATACCTTAACCCCCATCCCAGCTCCTGACAAGGTGCCCTGAGGTCCTTCTCATCAGATGCACCCCTCTAGCACCAGTGTCTTGTAAAGCAGACCCTGAAAAGCTCTCAATAGCCTGAGAAAAGCAGGGATGCCCGGCCCTCCCTATTCAAACTGAACACAGGCTGTCTTTCTGGCCCCTCCAGCTTCTTGCCTACTCTCCGTGCCCCTCCTCCTTCCATCTCCTTTTGTCTACTGTCTTCCCACCTCGCTTTTCCTCACTCGCCCCTCTCCCTCACAGCAGCTGCCTTCCCACCTTATTCCACAGAGAGTCAGGGCCAAGAGCCTTCCCCGCCCTGGTACAGACTGAGCAGGACACTGAGCCTTGGGGGAACCAGGAGTCCAGCACTCAGGGTCCTGCCCTGTTGGGTCCCCAGCCAGTCACTTCTTCCCTTTGGACATCAGTTTCCCCACTTCCCATTTATGCATAACCTGGGTCCCGGGCTCCTTGCCCTGAATCACACCGGCTGCCTCTCCCTCTCTCTGAGTCAGGAAGCAGGTAGACAAGGGGGTCCACCTTGGGGACCTGACTCCCTTCTCACTACCTGCCCACCCTGGAGGTATCTCAGGTGCCGTCACGGGGTCAGCAGGGGAGGCAGGCTTTGGTCCTGGGTCTGATTGTCCAGAGGCTCAAGGTTTACTGCCCAGACTTTTAGGGCATCCCCATGTGGGGTCCCTTAGTGGGGTCCTCAACCCCCAAATCTTTCCCTCCCTCCCTTCCAAGCTGTGACCCTCCCCCAGCTGTTGATAAGGCCCTCCTTAAATGCATCCCAGCCGTGCCCTGCTTCGAGCAGATGTTTAATATACGAAACAAAAATAGCAGTTATTTTGTGGAATGGATCCCCAACAAGCTGAAGCCATCTGTTTGGGGCAACCCACCCTGGGGCCTAAAACTGCCTGCTGCCTTCCTTGGAAGAGCACAGCCAGCCCAAGGGCAGTCTGAGCACATTTATAAGCAGCTCTCCGCCCTGTTTTGTTGAAAGGCTGCAAACACCCCCTGTGCCCCTAGTCCTCCGGCTGATGGGGCCTCACGGAGGAGGAGAGGAAGCAGGACTTTGCATTCTGCATCCTGGGTTACAGCTTGCTTTTTCTTCCTTGACATTTCCTCTGATGCTTTAAAAAAAAAAAAAACCAAAAAAAGCACCACCAAAAAACCTCCTTTACTCTGAAGATGAAATCTCCTGCCGTGGGCACTCTTTCTCTAAAATCCACTTCTCACCACCCCACCACCCCTATTGCTAACCCAACTTTTGAACCTCGTCCTGCTAAAAGAGTGCCTGTCTCCTTCTTTGAAAAGCAAGTTCAAATCCTCTGCCATTGCTATGCCCTTCATCATTCCTAATTCCTGCATTTTCCCCTCTGACTGCTGCAGGGAAATCCTGGAATGATGTAATTGGACTCCAGTGGGGTTGGGTTTTGTGTATTTTTTTTTCTTCACTTTTCATCACCCAGGTAACACAGTACACTTTTATCGTTAAAAGTATCTCAGGACTTCGCTGGTGGCACAGTGGTTAAGAATCCGCCTGCCAATGCAGGGAACACAGGTTCGAGCCCTGGTCCGGGAAGATCCCACATGCCATGGAGCAACTAAGCCCGTGTGCCACAACTACTGAGCCTGCACTCTAGAGCCCGTGAGTCACAACTACTGAGCCTGAGTGCCACAACTACTGAAGCCCGCACACCTAGAGCCCATGCTCTGCAACAAGAGAAGCCACCGCAATGAGAAGCCTGTGTGCAACGAAGAGTAGCCCCCGCTCGCCGCAACTAGAGAAAAACCCGCAGGCAGCAATGAAGACCCAACGCAGCCAAAAATAAATTAATTAAATAAATAAATTTTTTAAAAAAGTATCTCAGTAAGGAAATGAATTCTTCATACTAAAACCACCTGGGACACAGTTAAAGTTGTGCTCAGAGAAAAATTGATAGCCTCAGGGTTTCCCTGGTGGTCCAGTGGTTAAGAATCCACTATCCAGTGCAGGGGATGTGGGTTCGATCCCTGGTCGGAGAACTAAGATCCCACATGCCATGGGGCAACTAAGCCCACGTGCTGCAACTACTGAGCCCATGAGCTCTGGAGCCCGCGCACCACAACTACAGAGCCCACACACTCTGGAGTGCACCACAACTAGAGAGAAGCCTGCGTGCCGCAATGAAAGATCTCATGTGCTGCAACTAAGACCCGATGCAGCCAAAAATAAATAATTAATTAACTAATTTTTAAAAAGAAAGAAAATTGATAGCCTTAAATACTTTTATTATTTATATTGGGTTGGCGAAAAAGTTCATTTGGGTTTTTCCGTAAGATGTTACGGAAAAGCCCCAACGAATTTTTGGCCAACCCAAATAAAAGCCCCAAAGCAACTGAACCAAATATTCAACCTAAGAAATTAGAAAAATAGCAATAAAATAAAAGAAGAGGGGAGAATGAGATAAAAGCTGACAGAAATGATATAGGAAAAAATATGAAAAAGATAAATAAAATTTGTTTGAAAAGACAAAGAAAATGAGAAAAATCTTAACTAAAGGCAAGTCAAAGCAAAGAGAGAAAGCAAAAATATGCAACTTTATCCAAAGATGACATACAGGGAATTCCCTGGTGGTCCAGTGGCTGTCTCCACGCTCCCAATGCAGGGGGCCGGGTTTCAATCCCTGGTCAGGGAACTAGATCCCACATACCACAACTAAGAGTTTGCATGCCATAACTAGAGATTCCACATGCTGCAACTAAAGGATCCTGCACGTGGCAACAAAGATCCCACGTGCCGCAACTAAGACCCAAGTGCAGCCAAATAAATAAATAAATAAATATTTTGAAAAATTTACAAAAAAAAAAAAAGGAAGACCTACAGATGGCCAAGAGGCACGTGGAAAGATGCTCAACATAACTAATTATTAGAGAAATGCAAATGAAAACTACAATGAGGTATCACCTCACACCCGTCAGAATGGCCATCAGCAAAAAATCTGCAAACAATAAATGCTGGAGAGAGTATGGAGAAAAGGGAACCCTCTTGCACTGTTGGTGGGAATGTAAATTGATACAGCCACTATGGAGAACAGTATGGAGGTTCCTTAAAAAAACAAAAATAGAATTACCATATGACCCAGCAATCCCACTACTGGGCATATACCCTGAGAAAACCATAATTCAAAAAGACACATGCACCCCAGTGTTCATTGAAGCACTATTTACAATAGCCAGATCATGGAAGCAACCTAAGTGTCCATCGACAGATGAATGGATAAAGAAGATGTGGTACATATATACAATGGAATACTACTCAGCCATGAAAAGGAACAAAACTGGGTCATTTTTAGAGAGGTGGATGGACCTAGAGACTGTCATACAGAGTGAAGTAAGTCAGAAAGAGAAAAACAAATATATATTAATGCATGCATGTGGAATCTAGAAAAATGGTACAGATGAACCTGTTTGCAAGGCAGAAATAGAGACACAGACATAGAGAACAAATGTATGGACACCAAGGGGGGAAAGGAGGGGTGGGA